CGCAACTGGGCTTATTTGTACCAACACACTCCCCATAAAATTATTTAGGCTCAAACTTCACAAGTGACATTCAAACAATTGTTTCATTCGTATATTCCACTGATGCCTTAAATTTAAGAACTCAGTATTTCCTTCCTCCTTATTCCTGATAGACTTTTAACTAGAAAATTAACAAAGAGGAGGGAAGTAGATGTGAGAAATAGTTCTCCAAGTTTGATCTTGCATCAGAATTATCAAGGATCCTTGTTAAAATTCAGATTCCTGAGCCCTGTTTCAAACCTCTTGAGTCACAATTTCTGGAAATGGGATTCAGGAATCGGCTTTTTAAATAAGTTACCTGAATAATTCGCATGAACACTGAAGTTCAGACCCTCACAGCTCTTGCGGCTGTCTCTCAGCTGGGTGCCTGCCCTTGCGTTTTCCTTCCATCGTTTTGGCATCCTCCTCCTCCAGGTTCCAGGTTATCGCACCAGCACTTCAGTGAGAAGCCAGCATGGCTGCTTTCCATCTCCTCATCACATTTAGACCTGTCCCTTGATGGTGAAAGGCTTTCCGCCCCCTTCCCAGTGCCTTCTAACGGGCCTTGTCCCCGCTCCTCCCCTAGCCAGCTGTCCGCCTGGGCCAGCATAGGCCGCCTCCAAACAGTGCTCGCGAGGCCCGAGGTTCGGCAGAGAATGGTAGGGCCCCCACTGGGGGAGGCCGGAGCTGGGTGGGGGGGGGGGGGGGGGGGGTGGGATTGCCCCAAGGGCTCTCCATCTCCATTCCGACCAGAGCTCTGCTTGTGCTTCCTGATAAAATTCATTTGAAGATCAACTTTTTAAAAACACTATCCTACGTTAAATCTACTACAGCCCTTTCCTGCCTGCAAACCCCTTTATTTTCTCTGTGTGAAACCCCTCCCCCTCTCACCCACTTCAAAGCTTCGTTATCAGCAATCCAAGATCTGTCCATCAGACTTCAAAGCCTTCCTCAAGAGGCAGCTGGGTCCTCCCTAACCTGCCACCCTCAGGGTTGTTCTTATCGTCTGGAACTCAGGTGAACTCCCTGCCAGTGGGGTCAGTTTCCTTCCCAACTTGTTACATTATACCCATCTCAGTTAGTCCCTTCATTCAACAAATATTTACTGAGCCACCGCTATGCAGCAGGACCTGCGCCCAGCCCTGGAAATACAGTGGTGAGCAAAGCACCGAACTCCACACCCCTCAGGGAGCTTACACAGAGGTGTGGGTGTCCTCCCCAAAGACACTGTAAATGCCACAGTAGGAACTTACTAGTTTTGATCTCCTGTTAGTTTTGCTCACTTCCATAGGACTTATTAAAAATAATTAAATTAAATCCATTATAGGAAACATGATACAAAATTCAGGACAAAGCTATTTCATGTCTTAATGTCAAAACCTAGAGTAAAAGGTTTTTATTTTTCTGGTTATTTAAAAAATAATTATGAAGAATAGTTTCTTTATCTGCTTCCTACCTCTGTTTCAGATTCTGTTTAGAATCAAAGACCCAAAATTTAGGGGGAAAAAATCAACAGCAATTATTTACAATTCTTTAATTCTATGACAAATAAAAATGGCAAGCAATAGGATATATTGGAGTATATGAGGAAACCATTTGGTATAAACCTAATTCAGCCTGACTTTGTTTTTCCAAAAGGGCCTGACTGTGGTCATGGAGCATGCATTGTATATCTGCTTAGACATTTTGAGATAAAGGTGCAACTTCCCTCCCCCTCCCAACGCTGGCATCTCCTTAAAGATTAAGCATCTTTCCTTAGGCTGGGAACTGATTGCAGCGCTCATCTGTGACTACCCAGCTCGAGGCAACAGACCTGCCACCCTGCGGGGTTCGCCAGGGTTCACTGAGACAGCAGGCCTATCTGCCATTTCCATCAATCGCTGTGCTGACAGAGCAGCCTCGTGACTATTGTAAAAGGGACATTTCAGTCATATGTGAAACATCCTCTTTGAGGGTATATAAGCACCCTGTATACCCCCACTTCTTTGGAGTGCTCTGTTCCTTTGTGGAAAGACTCTCCCGGGTTATAATCCTCAGATTTAAGCTCAGAATAAACTCACCCAAATTTTCATTTATAGGTTGGCTATGGATTATTTTCATCGACATCTATAATCAACATGATACCATTAAATTTTTCTCATACTTTAGTCTTAAATGGCTCTATTGCCCTTATGGAAAGAGCTTTCTTAAATTCCAAAATTTACCCAGTCAATTGGCTCTACTTGCAAAAACTATAAAGAACTTAAAAAAGGGAAGATACTACTCCATCAGTTCTCTTTATCCCTTCTGGAGTTCAGAACACGCTTTTCTCTTTCCTCACTATAGATAGCATGAATTTCACATTCGTGTAACTCAGATATGACTTCTGATGTCCCCAATGCCGAGCTAATTTATTCAGACCAAATATCCCGCTAGTAAATACTAAAAATACCGAATAAAATATGCTTTCATCTTTTTTAGAAACATCAATAAGCCAAAACATAGTAAGGCATTACCAGGCCAAAACCTAGAATAAATGAGAACACGGAAAAGCAGGCCAACCATTAGAAGCTGTTTCTGTTCCAAGGATGTTACTGAACACAAACACGAGTTCGTTCACCCATCTTACTACCCACCACACAACAGGGACCAAACATAAAAACTCCAATGCCAGGCTTGTGGCAAGGAAAGGGGCCTTGATTACTGAAAGACAGCCAGACAAGGAGACGGGAGGTAAAGCTCAGATCCACCTCCTTGAAGGGAAAACGGTAGGGTTTTTATTTGGGGCTTTAGGCAGGGGAGGGGCAGCTTTGGCCCTGCTGGTAGGTGCCTTCCCGCCAGCCTGCGCTTGGCCTTGTGGGGCTGCTGCAGGGAGAGAGATGGTGAGATAAGGGAGTCTGCAGGGGGAGCCTTGGCTGTCTACCTCCATGATGGGTGGTGGATTCTGGCGCCAGGAAGCCGAGCAGCTGGGGCTTGGGGAGCTTGAGTTTCTTGATATTCTCTGGACATCAGTTTCCCTGTGATAAACTTCAAGGCCCAGTAATGAGCCAAAACTTCAGTGTGAGCCCAGCATGTGGCCACCTGGGCTTAAACAATTTGTAACTTCTATTTGCCTCTGAAGCTCAGAGAGTCAGAGGTTAAAGAAACCGATATTTACATATGAACGGAACTAGAGAAGCAAGGAAAGGGGGAGGGTGCTTTGGGGTTTAACCCGGTACACTCTGGGCTTAATGTGAAACTTAACGTGGACTGTGAAACAGCTGTGGGTTCAGTGGCTTCTTGGGGTGAGAGGGATGGAAGTCAGATCCCCAGGCCCACCAATACAACGGGAGAACCCCGTATGAAAGTGAATCACAAAGGGCTACAGCAGAGGTCAGCCCCTCCCCTCCCACCCACCTCACAGAGCCACAGGGAGTTGCTTTAGCCCTGGACAGAGCAGGGCAGGAGGAGAAGAGAAAGGAAACCCAGCCCTGAGAGGCGGTAGCCACAGGAGCATTTGAAGCCCAAATGTGCAGCCCCAATTCGTATCACTGCTGCAAATCTAGTTTAGAGTGCTGTCAAACTGACAGGGTGCCCACGCCCCAGAAACAGGCACACACAGACCTTCCCCTGAGGAAGGCAGCTCCGTATTATTGATGAGGATCAAGGCTGCCCCAGGGAGAGAAGCCCAAGGCCTCCTGCCCTGCAGATGATCCATATCACCCTCCAGGAAGCATAGGATGTCCCGACCTGATCAGATCTGATTCTTATCTAAAGTTATAGGACCACTCAATAACCAGACCCCACCTGCACTGATACCATTTTAATGACTTTTTTACATAATCTTTCCTTTGTCTTGTAAAGAGATAACTCACATACCTCTGCCTTAAATTTAGCCCTACCCTCAACACATTGCAGCTCTTCCTGCCCATGGGTCCTGTCCCCATGCTATTCCATGGAATTCTCTGAATAAAAGAACATTACTGCCAGAACTTCAGAGTCCAAGAAATCTTTCTTTCGACTCCTTGACTCACCGAGCCCGCATCATTATTAGCCCTTGAGAATCCTCACATATCCTTTCTCAAGTGGTGTGAGCAGCAGAGAATGTAAGGTAACCAGGCACACAAAGAAGCAAGGCACCATGAGCAAGAACGAGCAGAGAGAACAGACAACAGCATCAGACACTCAGAAACTTCCGATATTGAAATTGCCACACTCAGATTATTAAAAGAAAATGCTTGTTATATTTAAAGAAATTTTTAAAGCCTGAAAATATCTGAAAGGAAAAAGAATTTATAAAAATTGTCAGAGCAGTTTTTAAAAAGAGCCAAATAGGATCTCCAGAACTTAAAAATACAATAATCAATATAAAACATTAAATGTCTTTATTTCTATCATTGAACTTAGCTCCTGAGCCCTTATTTCTGCTGATGGCGGGAATTTCAAATGTCTTGATTACACCTCCAGGTTACACTCAGTCTCCTTTGAGTAAATACTCAGTCATCAGTACTCAGTCAGTCAGAACTAATGTAAGTTCCTGGGCTTTGCACATTCTTGGAGGGTGGTTTGGCCTGTGAGGTCTTCTGTCCTGGGGACAAGCCCCGCTTTCTCCCCTTCTTGGGCATCCATTGGCCCGCCTCCTCACGCACCCACTATAGAAGGCCCCACACGCACTCCTGTGCTCTGATCACTCACATAACTCTTGTTCATCCCAACTGTAAGGCTTCTTTAGGTCCACTGACCTGCACCCAGTCCTAGCCTGAGCCTCTGGGAAACATGGAAACCCTCGGCTGCTGGGCTGCCCTCTGGGGCCCTATGAGCTGCGTGGGACACCTCAAGTCCTCTCTGCCTGAAACCTCACCTGGTCAGCTGTATTTTCCCAGGTGGGAAATGGGGCAAAAATCCCCTCTATAGGCAGATCCAGAAACTCATCTGGGGGTTTTCTCTTTCATGACCCCAGGTGCCTCCCCATCCAGGCTCAAGCACGTTGGGGAAGGGAGCTCACTTGCCTCCTCTCCCTCTCTGCCAAGCTTCTCCTCTGTCCCAGAAACACTTCTCTCTCCTCTCACGTTGCAGGAAAACACTGTGTTTATTGAAGAATTCTTCCTGTTTTACGTTTATTGCATCAGCTCTAGTCTCTGAGCTCTCCACGCTTTGTCTTGACACCCGAGCTTTTGAAATTAAAAAAATAATAACAATAATAAAAACAAATAATAACAATAAACATTTTTCTCTTATCAACAGTCTTCCTCGCAGAGTTGAAAGCTCTGGCTTTGCAAACTCAAAGTTAAGAGCTAAGACTCTGTTTTCACCAGCCTGTGTTCTCCCTTCTCTGAGATGTATATTTCTCTCAGGCTGAGGGTAAAGAAGGAAAAATACATCTGATAATATTTCCAAATATTATCCTGCTGCATCAACAACCTTTCTTATGAAGTCTCTACAAAAAGAAAACATATTTAACAATGAACTTGGTATAATAAAATTATCCTGTGTCAAAAATGTGTGGTCCACAGAGTTTTGTTACACAAGGATTTGATCAACCTATAGGTTTCAACAGCATGCCACTGGCGGATTGTACTAATTCACCAGCACTTCTCACAACACAGGCCAAAGACGGTGTTATTGAGATAATTGAGGAGTTGAAACGGAGACTTCTATTTACTCTGACTGACAGCTATGAAGACAGACTCAATTTTCTTTCAATCTTGAAATTAAGACTACTATACTTTTACCGTGGTTGTAGCACCCCTAAATGTCAGTAGAGAGGGGTTTTCTTCTAATGAGAATTCATGCCGTAAATTGATAGTTCAAAAGTGACTCTAGTTATCACCTAAAAATATTACAATATTTGACATTATTAAAAATAGTTTGGGTTTCAATGATGCAGAAACTGTTTTCACACAAAAGAATGAAAATTCTAAGGTCTTTCTTTCCTTCAAGGATAAAAAAATACATAACGAGGGAGTCGATGATGTCTGCCAACTTTGTATTTGGAGAGGAATTCAGAGATGATTCTCTTGCCAGCAATCTCAGATGCAGACCGAGTAGATAAAGTTCTCAGAAAGGCCTAATCGGGTTTCAATCCACATGGAACCGAGCGGCCGCTTCTGGTCTTCTGGCCGTCAGCGTTGAGGTGAGAGACTGCAGCAGCGCTGTCAGCTGGAATTGAGAGGTTCCCAAAGACCACCTGGAAAACGCAGGAGGAGTACGCTGAGATGTCCATGACTTGGTTTGCATGGCCCTGACTGTGACTACAGATAGAGCCCACTTCAGTCCTGTGGAGTCAGCATCTATTCTGTACATCTGCGTTTAAAGCAAACAGCAAACAAAATTCTCTAATTTTCAGAGATTTAGGTATGCAGAAACATTCACCTAGAACTGAAATTTACAAAAACAAAACTACAGAGTCTTCTCAGTTTTTAAGATTTGAGTTAATAAGTTATAGAGGTTGTTTCCAAAAGGTGAATCCATCCACTGTTAAGTCATTTGCAGAATGTTAGAGCTCAGGGCACGAGTGCCGTAAAGATTGGTGCTATGGTTTCCACAGCAACTAGAGCTCTGTCTCGCTTGAATCCTCACTTTGTGCTTTATTCAGCGTGTGCTAGTAAATTCAGACCCGTGGTCAGTACAAGCAGGTGAATACAGGTGCACATGCACGCCTGGGTGTGCATAGGGTATTTTCCATACGAACTCGGTTTTCCTTTGATGTCATGATATTCTTAACCCTAAGTTTGGAATCAACAAAGCCTTTTGCAAGGCTTTCAGTTCCCAGCATCCTACTAAAATATTTTTGTAATGAGAATTATGACCAACTGCATATTAAAAAAATTAAATGACCACATGTTGGAATAACCCAAATCTCCTAAGTTTACAGCTGAGCAACAGCCCTATCACTAATTCAAGAGAGAAAAAAATTCTCTTGAGCCCACTGCTTATTCCAGAAAGTAGGCTGATAGAATAAGGAGATATTTCAGCTCAATTTGCCTCGAGACCGAGTATCTGGGGTTCACGCAGCAGCACTTCAGTCCTCCTCAACTGAGCTTCTCAATTGCTTTGTGATTCTTGAAAGATTGGTTGATTGGGCTAAATTGGTCTGTCATGCTAGGTGCCAGGGCTTGACTGATTGCTCTGGAGTGCAATTAACAGGCCGTTAAGTTACTCAGGAGGTTGATGTCCACCGTGAAAGACAAGCTCCATCCCAACTACTCTAGAGCTTTTGCTCCACTATTTCCACGGCAAGATTTCCTCCTACGTGAAATCACTGTTTGCGTCTTTGGTGCTCATTTATAGGTACATCCAACAAATATTTGTGGAATGCCTACCATATGCAAGGGGTTCGCTGGGAACTGGAGGCCCTATGTTGACCCTGTAACTAAACACCTTGAATGGGGTCTAATAAGGACCCACAGAAGAGTGAACAGTGTTAGAGGAAGGTTTCCACTCATAGGCCATTCTCAGCAACAAACCCTTCAAATGGCTTTAAAATGGCCACTACCATGTTTTCCAATTCCATTACAGGCTGTCACCTCACATTCCAAGGTCCTGCCCGACTACCCACCCTTCCTCCAGTCGTCCTTCCTCCCTGTCCTCCTTGTCCATTTCTGTTGCCACATAGATTGCCACCTGATGCCCACTCTCACTTCAGCATGACCTCCTAGCTTCTTACTCCCAGAACCACCCAGCTGCTCCATCCCATACTTACTTTCATTTTTTCTGCCTTCACCCCTCTTCTCACAGAGGATTTTGGAGTGTTCAAGAGGAAGGGAGAACCAAGGCACGATGTGGCTTTCGTCTGAGTAGTTCAGGGCTTGATGGGATTCCAAGAATCAGTGTTGGATTCAGATTTGAGCCTCCGTGCCTACATTCTGGTTAAATAAACCTTGTGTCATTGTATGAGGATCTAGCCACTGTTTGTCCCAATTCTTTTATTGGAAAATGTCTCCATGCTGCACACAACGCCTCTTCATCTTCCTCCCACTCTGGCTTGAACGCTCAGTGAAGAAACCACCGTCCATACATCCGCCTGAAGCAGACTCTTAGGATGGTTCTGAGAGGAAAGGCCCTCTCTGCTCCAGGATAACCCTTCCTCATCCTTCCTTTACCAAGCCCTTTGAGTCTATCTTCACTACCACTGCCTTGTGTAGGTTCTTATCACTTTGGGCCTGAATTATCATTCTATCCCCCCACTGATTAGTCAAATATCCCACCTCCCACCACCATGCAGCACACTGCTGCCTCCACTTCCCCCCATCAAATTCATCCTTCCATATCCAGTCAGCGCCTCTTCGGAAATATGTGTCACTTCCTGGCCTGAATCCCCATAGTTTTCAGAATAACATTCAAACTCCTGGGTTTATAACACATGGTGCGTGATCAGGTCCTGCCTACACTTGCAGCTTCCCTTTCTCACCACCTACCATCCACCCATGCCCTCTTCATTCCACCAGACAGGACGATGAGCATCTCCTGGAACTTCTGCTGAATCACACCACCGTTATTTCCTGCGTGCTGTTTCCTCTACCTGGAGTGCCCTTCTCGCTGTAGGGGAGTAAGAAATAACTGCCTCTATCCTTCTAACTTCTCAGCTGGGCCTCCGTAACAAAAGACGGGTTAACAGGAGAGAAACAAACAGAAGTTTATGAACATGTCTACTTCACGTACACATGGGAGATTGCAGGGAAAACTGAGTAACTCTCAAAGAGGTACTTTATAATTCAGGCTTAAATACCATCTTAAGCTGAAAGAAAAAAAACATGATGTGGGGGAGGGCAGTTATGGGGAGAGGACCCCAGAGGTAGGGTTTGTTATGCAGACTTAAGTTCTCTTAACTCCATCCATAACAGCCTGATGACTTACAGGCATCCTTCTCTTTCTTGGTGAGAGGGAGGCCCTTCCAAATGGAGATTTCCTTTATAAATATAAATTTACCTTAAAAAGGGGTAACTTCCACTCTGTTTTCAAAGCTTCTCCTGTGTTTGCTGTTTCTTAGAATAAATCTTATGCCAAAGAGGCACTTTTTGGGGTAGCACATTTTGCCACCCTTCACCATGAATAGTCAAATTAACCCTATTGATCTTAATGGCCCTTCAAACTCAGTTTGCCATGTGTTGTGCACTGTGCTAAGAGCAGTGTACGTGTTCCTTGAACACCAACTTCAATTTAAATGTGCCTCATTTGGGTTCCTTAGAATTCTGTGAATCTCTCTCTTAGAGCGTCTATCATAGGTAATGATGTGGGGTTGGTGAGCTGAGGAGTCGAAAGAAAGGTTTCTTGGACTCTCAAGGTTTGGCAGTAGTGCTCTTTTATTCAGAGAATAGTGTGGAATAGCATGGGGACAGGACCCATGGGCAGTCAGAGCTGCTGCGTGGGGACAGGACCCACGGGCAGGAGCAGCTGCTGCTGCCGCTGCTGCTGCAAACATGGGTTGAGGGTAGGGCTAAATTCAAGGCACAGGCATGTGAGTTATCTCTTTACAAGACAAAGGAAAGAATATGTAAAAAGAGTTGTTAAAATGGTATCAGTGCTGGTAGGGTCTGGTTATTGGGTGGTCCTATAACTTTTAGATAAGAATCAAACCGGATTGAGTAAATGGCAGAAGCCACTGCTTAAATATCATCTTCAGCTAAAGACAAAGGAGGATGTTGGGGGGGGTCAGTTACATGAGGTTGCCAGACAGCAAACAACTTAAGTCCTTGCTGTCCCCATTAAGAGTTTCCAGAGAGAAGGCCGTCCCGCCTTCCTCCTGGCGCTGAGAGGGAGGCACCCCCACAGATGGAGACTTCCTTCACAAATGCAAATGTCTCTCATCAAACGGCAAGCAAATTCCACTCCTCAGAGCCCCCTTCTCATCTGCAGTTTTAAAAGTAACCAGCCTAAAATAATCCTCATCAGATAACACTTATTTTGTCAGTCTCATTCATTTATTCAACCAATATTTATTTAGGGTATGTCACCAGCAGTGGGCAACATAGACAAGTCTGCTACTCTCCAGTTTTATAGTCTAGCAAGGAAGAAAGACAACTGAGACATAGCAGGAAAGAGAGTAGCATAGCAGAGGAAGTAGAAAGTGCTGCCATGGGCTGGCCCGGTGGCTCAGCGGTTAAGTTCGCATGTTCCACTTCAGAGGCCCGGGGTTCACCAGTTCGGATCCCGGGTGTGGACATGGCATTGCTTAGCAAGCCATGCTGTGGCAGGCGTCCCACATATAAAGTAGAGGAAGATGGGCACGGATGTTAGCTCAGGGCCAGTCTTCCTCAGCAAAAAGAGGAGGATGGGCAGCAGATGTTAGCTCAGGGCTAATCTTCCTCCAAAAAAAGAAAGAAAGAAAAAGAAAGTGCTGTGGGTTGTGGAGCTCTCAACAGCACCCAGGAAGTCAGGAAAGGCTTCCCAGGGAGCCGGCCTTCAGTTGAAGCTGAGGCACGTTCCAGGAAAAGAGAGTAGCCCACTGAAGGTCTAGAAATGACAGAGCACACGCATGGGGCCTCTCTGAACAGGTAACCGAAAGAAGTTACCGCACCAGGTTTGCTTTTGCCCGCCACCCAGAAAGCCAAACACCAAGGCAACGAGATTGCAGCAGAGAGGGCGTTTATTCACAAGGCAGCCATGTGAGGAAGCGAGGGCATGAGTCTCAAATCCGCCTCCCCGAAAATAGGGACTCAGGGATATTTATGGGATGGGGGAAGGTGGTCTGAAATGTGGAGGTAGGTGGTTGGAGGTGAGGAGAGGTGAGGGAATTGATGGTCTGCGCAAGCGTGGTCAGACTCCATGCCTCTTCATAGGACCCATGTTCACAAAATGGCGGCGCTAGCATGACCTGAGGGTGGAGTTTTTAGCCTCTTAACATCAAAGATTGCCTATCGGACATCTGCGTGGGCCTGGTTGATGAGTTGGTGGTCTCAACTGGCCTGAAGTGAACAAGGAGTTCTAATTCCTGAAGAACAGCTCACAAACCCATTACCATGGTGACCCAGGCTCCAGGGAGATGCTCTCTATAGGAGCCTAGTGGGAGTCAGAAAGCATATTGCCTCAGCAGCACAGTTAACAATGGGCGGGTTAAACAGCTAAAAGCTATCATCAGTAGTTGCAAAAAGGAAAAAAACACTCTAGTTCCTAGCTACCTAATCATCAATGGCTAACTCTCTGTCGGTGTCAGAAGTTCATTACGCATGGAGACAGACAGGAGGCTGGGAAGACAACAACAAGGAAAGGTGATAGAGGCTCAGCCACTGGAGGGCTGCAGAAACCCCGTTTAAGGAACTGACATTTTTATCCCCAAAATAACAGGAAGCCCGCTGGACGTTTATAAGAAGGGAATGAGATCAGATTTGCCTTTGAGAATGATCACTGTGGCTGCTCATGAGAACGGTGTGGTTGGGAGGCAGGGGGAGGCCAGATGCTGACCCGAGGGAGAGATGGGAGTGGACCAGACCAGATGATACCTGTAGGAATGAAGAAACGTGGACTCATTTGAAAGCTGCTTCAGGGGCAGAATTGACAAGATCGCTTGACTGATTAGAAAAAAGATACGAGGGAGAGAGAGTCAGGTATAATCCCAAATTTCTGGATTTAGGTGATTATGGGTGCCATTGCTGTAATTGGGAATGTTTGGATGGAGAGGCAGTTTTAAGAGAAAGATGATGAGCTCAGTTTAGGACTTGTTGATTTTGAGGTGTCTTTAAAACAAACAAGTAGAGTTGTACAACAGGTATTTGAATGTGCATGAACCTAGAGTTCAGAGGAGAAGATGGAGACAGGTCTGGAAACAGAGATTTGAAAGTCATTACTGCAGAGGTTGTAATTAAGACCAAGAGGATGGATATGATCCCATTAGACTGTAAGTCTAATAAGGCAAGAGCCATACAGTATTTACCTCTGTATCCGCAGGGTCTAATGCTGTGCCTAGAACAGAGTGGGAGCTTTGATTATCTTATTGAATGAATGATGAGTGAATAACAGTGTGAAATACAACAAGTTTAACTGAAAAAACTGCCTGAATACAAAATATTGAAAGAGAAAAATTATTATGGTATTGATATGCACCAAATAAGTTTTTAGAGAAGTAGTACTGGCATGGATCATCTAAAAAAAGTTGTGTAGAATAATAACTACTTTGAAAACAAATGAAATGCATGTCATTTGTACAAATTAAGGCACAGTTACAGTCCAAAAATTACCAAAGCAGATTGCAAATGCTATTTTATTATCACCATTTGTACAGTGTCTGCGACAGTGCAATTAAAATTTGATAATCATATTTGTCTATGCATAATAATTAGCAAGAGACAAAGAGATAAAAGGATAGTTAAAGAGAAATGAAAAGCCAGCAGCCTTGAAACCACACCCTGGGCCCACACGAGCCTCTTCCCACAATGGCCGTCATGGTGGCTTGATTTCATTTTCCACCTGCTCCCCTCACAGAGCCTACATGTGAGGTACAACAAAACTCCTCTTGTGTATTATCATGGTAATTTTGTAATTATTTTCAAAGGGAACTCTTTGAATCTTTTTGTTCTTTTATTGAACGTAAGTAGGAACACATTCTCTGGAACCAAACAGTATCTGCCAGCGATGGTAATGGACATCGCTCCACTGCGGAAAGTGTGTCCCCACTACTTGTCAGGCATGCTCTTTTTTTCCCTTGATTCTTTCACATCATTGGAAAACCTAGGAGGTACAACTCAAGAGATCTTTTTCAATTTTTGCATCATACTTCCAGTCATTAGTACAAGGCCAAAAGATACATCTCAAATGAGTCATTATCAAGTGAGTGCATTGTGGAGGGAACATCCTCGCCAAAGTCAGACCCAGGTTCACGGTGCAGTGCACCTGCTTGTAGGTGGAGGAGCTTCGGAAAGATCGGCCAACCTCACCAGGCCTCGCTCGTCTCATCTGTAAAGGGAGGGACTGGATGTAGCTGCTCCTAAAACCCACTATAGCTTTCTAATTTGGTTATTCCACCACCCTCTGGAACATTTGATTACTTTTGACTATGCAGTCATTGACTTTGCTTCATTATTTTATTATACCTGATCTCTATTAAATAACATTTTTTATACACTGACTGTGTCTTCATGTCCAGTGAAACTAAAGGGCTCGGGACATGGCATGAGAGCGGGCATATGACAACACTGACAACCACTCGTCTGTTCTCCGGGCGTTCACACAGGCAGGCACAGCCCGGGCGCTTGCTCTAGCTCAGTTCATCCTCATGACAGCCCCTCTGTAGTGAATACTAACATCCCCATTGTATGGAAGATGAAACTGGCATTTGTTTACATTGACAAGCTGACAGCTAGAAAGTGCTGTCACTTGACGTCAGCCCCAGGCCTGCGGGCCTCCAGAGCCTGTGCTCGGAACCACTGTGCTGTGTCTGGATCTGGGCTGGGTCCCAGGCAGAGCTGGTGTGGACTCAGTGGAAGCAGGTAGCACTTGCGGGGGAGAGATGAATAGAGCCATCAAGGGTGTTTATCCACAAAAATGCAAACCTGAGAGGTGAGCAAGGAAAGGAGAGCCAAAACTGTGCTAGACGGTTGCTCAGATTGTGAGTGTAAGGTTGCGTGGAGTATCACATCCAAGGGGAGAGGCAGGATGGACTTGGGAAAATGAACAGCGATTGGCAGCCTGAAGAATCTTAGCAGAATTCTCTGTGAGTCTTCAGCCCTAAGACCAGGTACAACAGGATTGTGTGAAAATCTTCCTTCAAACAAGACTTAGTGGACATAAGGAAACAGAGTGAAAACATCTATAAGACAATGAAAATGGACCCCAGGAAAGAAACGGCTAGTATTTTGTGCTGGAGCTTCTCTCAGTGGCTCATGAGAGGCACATTAGAGAAGCTTTCCAAACTGGCCAAAGAAGGAAAGGAGAGATGGAGAAGACGTGCTAGGCAGAGCTCTCACGTGCCTGATGCTTACAACCAGGACACACAACGAGCGTCATCGGTGCTGGCGTTCTCTAACGCCAGGCCATTCAGTTCACATGGCGAAGACCTCGGAGGCAACCATGCCCATGGTTTAGAAAGTTTTCAATCAAACAAAAGGTGATATTGAGCCTCAAAAGTAAGTGGATCGCTTTCATCAGAAAGATGCAGCTGACTCTTATATTCTTGTTTATAAAATAAATCTGAATCTAAATGTAAATTCATAAAAATTATTCTAAATCCAATCAAAACTCTATATTAATTGCCAGCTTAAAGAGAGCAGATAAAGAAATAGGTTAAATGATATCACAAGAAAGTAATCAGCCAGATCCTGATATAGAATATTTTATAGGACAAGTGATCCAGTTTCTCCCACCACAAATGACCCAGTTTCTCCACAAATTAATAGCAGGAAATAAGAGGAGATGGATGGCAGAATAAAAGATACTTAATAAATATTAATTTAAAAAGCAGTAATTGATGTAATAATACTACTTCTAATCACTTCAAGTAAATAATTGGACAAGACAGTATAGCTGTGTGTGTGGGTGGCCCCAGCTCTACTGTTTGTAATGGTGGAAATACCACACATCCATTGAAAAAGATGCAGAATTGAGACAGGACAGTAAATTAAGGAGGAGGAAGAAAGCAGGTTACAGGCTGTATGTATAGTATGATATGGTAGGATAATCAGAAAACCTAGATTTAACAGGAGGCTACCTCCTCCTCAAGAGGGTTCTGCACCCAATTCCGATCTGTGGGAGGGTGGGGGTACTCCTCCATCACCAGCGATGCTCTCATCCCAGCTGCATGACCTATAACTCAGCTCAATTCTGACACTATTTACCCAGCGAGAGCATCGATTCCACAGGTCACGGGCTCAGTCCTACAAGACTGCCCCGCCTCAGATGCCAACCACCATTCCAGGTTCGCACCTGTGCCTCTGACCCAGCGGTCAGAAGTTCCCATGATCTCCACTTTGGACTTGATTAATTTCCTAGAAGAGCTCATAGAACTCAGAAAACAGTTTATTTACTGGATTACTGGTTCATTATAAAAGAGTATAACTCAAGAACAGCCAGATGGAAGAGGTGCAGAGGGCAAGACACAGGGGAAGGCACAGAGCTTCCGTGCCCTCTCCAAGCACACCACTCTCCCAGCGCCTCCACGTGTTCACTCAGAAGCTCTACAAACCCCCCTTTTTTGGTTTTTATGGAGGCTTCATTACGTAGTCATGATTGATTCAATCGCTCACCATTGGCAAGTGATTCAACCTCAAGCGCCCATCCCCATCCTGGAAATCAGGGGGCGGGGCTGAAAGTTCAACCCTCCAACCACAGGTTGGCTCCACTGGCACCCAGCCCCATCCTTAGGTGCTTTCCAAAAGTCACCTCATTCACGTAACAAAGGACACCTTTATCACTCTCAACGCTTAGGAAACTCCAAGGGTTTTAGGAGCTCTGTGCCAGAAACGGGACGAAGACCAAATATATATTTCTTATTATGAATCACAGTATCACACTACTGTTGAGCCTTGAGCAAAATAACTTCTGTGAGACTCAGTTTCCCCATCTTAAAATAAGGGTGATTATAGTTCCTATCTCTCTATGCTATGAGAATTAAATATAATAAGATTAAGCTCATGGCCTAGCAGAGTAAACATTCGATATATCCTTCTAGAATATACACCAGAATTCCTAGAGTGGTGGTGGCTGTCTAAAGAGGAAATTATGGACTTTTTCCCCTTTTCTATTTTAAATAGACTTTCATTGTCATTTGACTAAAATTTTTGTCATTTTCATCAAGAGAGTATATGCGTGTGCATATTTTTTTAAAATCATTAATAAACTTTTTTTTAGAGCAGTTTTATTACCACACAAATGGGCTTCTCCTACCGGATATGCATAAAAAAACCAATTAATTACGGCATCAGCTTTTGGGAAAAGAAATCGGCTGTACTGTAAGGTGGAGCTGCAGGGAGATGGGGCGTGTGCCGGCAGATCCAGAGCAGGGCGCTCTGAAGTGTGGAGGTGGATGACCGCAGGTGAGGAGAGGGGAGGGAGTTGACGATCTGCGCAAGCGCAGTCCAGCTTCACGTCTCTTCACGGGACGCGTTACTACGACCTGAGGGTGGGGTTTTTAGCTGCTTGACATCAAAAAGGTCACATACCGAGCAGTTGCACAGGCCCAGTTGATGGGTTTGTGGTCTTCACCGGCCTGTACTGGATGAGGGGCCTCTGTTCCTGAAAAACCATTCTCCATTACTCTGCTGAGAAGATGGGGTCAGATGGACCGGTCCTGGAGGGCCGGAGGTTACAGCTTTAGGTTCACAGCAAAACTGAGTGGAGAGTGCAGAGTTCCCATGTACCCCGGGACCCCACTCATGGGACCCTCCCTATCAACCATGTATCCTTGGTTTGTTTGTTTGTTTGTTGTTTGTTTTGTGAGGAAGATCAGCCCTGAGCTAACATCTGTGCCTGTCTTCCTCTACTTTGTATGTGGGATGATACCACAGCATGGCTTGATGAGCGGTGTGTAGGTCTGTGCCCAGGCCCCAAACTTGGGAACCCCAGGCCACCGAAGTGGAGTGCACGAACTTGACCATGACACCACTGGGCCGACCCCTCAACCATGTATTCTTTCGGAACCATGAATTATTTAGGTGCGATTTTTAATTGTCAAATAAAAGGGAATTTTTAACTGATAATTTGATATTCAATTGCACTGTCATCAGAGAAAATGGTTTGTATGATCTTGATTCTATAAGAATTTATATTTAAACTTTCATTTTTCTAGGTAACCTAATATACGGTAAATATTTGAAAAGAAGGTATATTGTTTATTTATTTATTTATTCTTTTAAAGGTTTTATTTTTCCTTTTTATCCCAAAGCCCCCCAGTACATAGTTGTGTATTTTTGGATGTGGGTCCTTCTAGTTGTGGCATGTGGGATGCCGCCTCAGCATGGCTTGACTAGCAGTGCCATGTCCACGCCCAGGATTCGAACTGGTGAAACCATGGGCAACCAAAGCAGAGCGCGTGAACTTAACCACATGGCCACGGGGCTGGCCTCTGGTATATCGTTTATATGCAGAGGTCTATATATTTTTGATATGATATTCGTTTTTTTTAACTTTTTTTCAAGATTGGCACCTGAGCTAACATCTGTTGCCAATCTTTTTCTTCTTCTTCTTCTTCTCCCCAAAGCCCCCAGTACATAGTTGCATATTCTAGCTGTAGGTCCTGCTGGTTGTGCTGTGTGGGACGCCACCTCAGCGTGGCTTGATGAGCAGTGCCATATCCACGCCCAGGATCTGAACCAGCGAAACTCTTGGCCCCCGAAGCGGAGCACGCAAACTTAACCCCTCGGCCCAGGGGCGGCCCCCATCATTTTTAACGTATATTTAAAAATCTCTGATTACGATCATGGATTCGTCCCTTTTTCTTGTAATTTTTCTTGTGTTTTCAAGGTTACACAGCGGCCTTCTTAATCCTTATTGATCTTTTTGCCTTCTATTCTGTTTTCTTCCATAAACTGTTTACGTAAGTAGCGTAGGGGAAGGAGTAATAGGGAGATGGGGAGACTTCAGCGGTTTGGGAGTCAGACAGTGTAGTGGTTACCAGCATGCTCCTAGGGTGAAGACTGATCTTGACGAAAGGCCAGACTCTGAAGCTGATCATGCCTAGGCCTCAGTTTACTCCTCTGTAAAACATGGCTGGTAACGAGAACAGTACCTACCCCAATCCAATCCACCCTTTGAGATCCCTTGGGGTACAGGTCAGGGCATTGCAGAATCCTGGCAAGTGTCCTAAAAGTTCTAACTGGGAAATAAATCAATGTTGACTTTGAGTAATAATGGGCTGAGAGAGTTTCCCTACGTGTGACAAGGAAATGAGAGCCAACGCTCCCTGTGGAATTGGAGTGCAGCCGGTCAGTGCTCCCGCATCCTCGGCTCATCAGCTCCGTCTTCAGAGGCCGCAGAGGAGCTGCGGATGAAGGAGAAACCCTCCGAGTGCTTCATTTCATTACATGTTCCACAGGCAAAAGGAAAGCTGTCCTCCGCTCTCACTTTGTGAGTAATCAAAATAATTTGTTAATTCAGTCATAATATTTCTAATATCCCAAGAAATTAATAATAGTTTAACTCATAATGGGACTTCACTCAATACCTATTCCTTTCACTTTCTTGTAGAAGTTATTTAAGACCCTCTGTCCATCTCTTTTTCCATAAAAGTACAGAGAGCCAAACCTAACTGGCTCCTGAGCAAATGCACCCAGAGAAGCAAGCTTTGGAGTCTACAGGCGGCTAAAAGGAGTGCTGCTCGGACTGAACACAGTGGAGAATGGGCGCGAATGTTCTGAATTTCCAAAGTGTCCATAACACTTAATAGGTTTGTCCGGCTCTAAAAAGACACCTTTCTCTGGCCCTCATTTATCCAGTTTATAACAAATATTTGATGGCTACTACGTGCCAGGCACTGTCCTAGGCTTTGGGGAAACCAAAATTGGTCAGACATGGTCCGTGGTGAAGGGAACGCAGTCTGTTTAAGAAACAGGTAGAGCGGTGAATTAATACAGGTTTCTGCCAGAGGGTGGGCACAGACGGCCTGCAGACATTTGGCCCACATGGCATTTTTATTTTTAATCCGGAGATTTCAGATAGACATGTGAGTCTGGGGCCCTGTGGCAGAGTAAGCAAATACAGAAAGTACAGCATTTTGGACTCACTTTCCTGTCTGGCTGCAGTCAGCCAGAATTTAAAGACCTGCTCTCTTTAGGAAGGACACGTTCTCCTCCCTGACCGCCAACTGCACCCAGCCTGCCTCGCACACACGGGCCGCCTGTCTGGCTGCTGCAGGAACGGAAGCCTGTGACCCTGGTCTTGTACCAAATAATCACAAACAAGGTGGTTTTCTGAATAACCAGTGATCACTTCACAGCACTTACAAGCTGTATCTTGATACTTCTTTGTATCTAAAAATAAGATTCTAGGGGCTGCCCCGCGGCCCAGTGGTTAAGTTCGCGCGCTCTGCTGCAGGCAGCCCAGTGTTTCGTTGGTTCAAATCCTGGGCGCGGACATGGCACTGCTCATCAAACCACGCTGAGGCAGCGTCCCACATGCCACAACTAGAAGGACCCACAACGAAGAATATACAACTATGTACTGGGTGGCTTTGGGGAGAAAAAGGAAAAAATAAAATCTTTATAAAAAATAAAAATAAGATTCTAAATAAAATGATTGTAATAAATACAAAAACCCACGCAGCGTCATTACTAGTTAGGCTGTAGCAGGCCCTAGGGCAGAAGGAGTGATCTTGAGGCTTCTTTGATTAAAACAAAAAGGTACTAAGTATATAAAACTACCCACAGTCGGTTGGACCAGATTACTCTACGAAAGAGTGATTCCTGAATTGATGTTTCACAAGGGCCACCTGCATGTTTATACTGTTTTTGAAATCTTTCCAGCAAATAACCTCTAAGTGTTGTACATGGGCAAAGAAAAAAGTTTTTGCCATTAAGCAGAGAACTTCTGTAAAGTGATTGCCCGGTCATGCCCTAACTTCAAATGTGTGGTGCAGAGCTCTCTGTATCTGAAAAAGTCAGCCGCCGAGAGCAAGAAGCTAAGCTGGATTCTGAAAGGAAAACTGCTCTCTGAAAATGAACTGCCCACATTCCTCCTAGCAAGGGAATTTAGAGCCTGATGTTAGTTTCTGATTGAAATTTTCAGGAAATAAGTTACAGCATTTGAAACTGAAAATGTAATTGCATTCCTGCATTTAATTTTCCAAGGTTCAACTACATAAACTTGACCGTACACAGTTTATATATTTCAAAACTTTAAAAATATTTTTTCCAGTTCAATGAAAGGATTATTTGCAAAACCAAAGTGTAGCAAGAGATTGTGATGACCTTTTGAAACAAGTACAAATTGTCCCCAACTTAGGATGGTTCAACTTAACAATTTTTCTACTCTACCATGGTGTGAAAGCAGTATTCGTGCAGTAGAAATTGTACTTTGAATTTTGATCTTTCCTGAGCTAGCAATGTGTGGTGCGATCCTGTCTCGTGATGCCGGGCAGAGGCAGCGAGCACAGCTCCCAGCCAGCCCCGCGCTTACGCTCACGGGTGAACAACCGATATACTTCCAACCGTTCTGCCCTCACACGACCTTTCTGTTTGCACTGTGAGTACAGCGTTCAAGCAATTATATGAGATAGTCAACACTTTATTATAAAATAGGATTTGTGTTACATGATTTTGCCCAACTGTAAGCTAAAATAAGTCTTCTGAGCATAAGATAGGCTAGGCTAAGCTCTGATGTTCGGTGAGTCAGGGGTATTAAATGCATTTTCGACTTATGATATTTTCAACTTACCGTGGATTTATCAGGATGTAACCCCATTGTAAGTCGAGGAAGATCTGTAGACGTATCTGTTAAAAATGGTCAATGATATCATTTTTCTTGCATTTCTATTTATAGAAATGGCAATCTTCCTCCAACAATTGTCAGCATAATTGGCAGAATATACGCATTTATCCTTTATCTGTTTGTCATTCTCTGAGTACTGAAGTGCAAAGGAGGAGGCTATTCTTTGGGACCTTGAGCTGAATTCACAGCTCTCATCTTACTTCAGCCAAGTGATTAGAATCCAGTGTGGTGTCTTTCTGCTTGGATGGGAGCAGCGAAGGAGGCTCAGCCATAAAGAGTCACATGATTTAAGAACTTGAGCTGCAGTATCAAGTGGAATTTCAGGCTGCTTATAGATTGAAGGAACAAAAACTTCATTCCTTTAACCATTTGCATTAAAAAAAATTGGTTTTCAAAATTTTCTTCCGTAAGTGTTCCCGTTCCAAAATCAGTTCCCCCTTATTAACCTAAGAACACATCGCAGAGGGAAAGCTGAGTTAAAGCTCGACAGGAAGTGCTATTTGCTAACAGCCTGGGACGGATGGCGCCCAAGCTTTGTAGCTGACCTACCGTAGAGATATGGGTACACTATGCCACAAAAAAACTGCAGGACCGAACTAGACATCTCACTGCAGGACCTACCACAATATTTTACAAAAATTGGGTCCACAAGCAGTCTTCCCACTAGAGCCAGCCCCTCACGCTTCCCTGCTGTCCGGCGCCTGGCAGCGTTGAGGCACGGGAGTCCCAGCATGGTGCGGCGCGTCCAACCAGCACATCTCAACGGCATCCAGTCACACAGTCACACTTTTGTTCCTAAAAGAGTGGAACACAGGCATTCAGAGAACTTGAGTTCTTTCTTGTGTGCTGCGCTGTGTTTGGACAAAAGCGTTCTCCTTGGCCTAAATCCTTGCAATCTGTCATCCTCCAACATGCTGCAGCGGCGCTGGCCTCTGTGGCCTCCTGTTCTGGAGCGCCGCCCTCGTGGCCTCGCTCCCCAAGCTCCAGGCTGCC